GTTTCAAACGTCAAAGCGTTATCCACAAAACCATTTAGGCCACGAGAGCCGCATGTTATGCAACGGATCTTATTAATTATTTAATTCAATTTTAGATTTTCCCGTCGATTCATTGGACCGAAGTACTTGGTCTCAGGTTGACATGTCGGCTCCTTGTGCAGATGCTTTGACGATGTCTGGTTATGTAACTTGAAGTCAATTGGTGGATGGTGACTAGCAGTGGAATCTAAGAAATGCATTTTGTCCGCATTTCGACCGAGCACTCTTGTCCAATCAATCGACGGGAAAATCGAAAATTGAATTAAATAATTAATAAGACACGTTGGAAAAATGTTGGCTGTCATCGCCCAAGTGGTCTAGTGGATAACGCTGTGGCGTTTGAAACTATGGGCACTGGGTTCGAGCCTCGGTGGGAACACCGCCTTTCACTGAGGAATGCAGGTATATCCAGTTGACGATTCCCAGATGGGACGAAATGTACATCCTGGATTCCACTGCTAGTCACCATCCACCAATTGACTTCAAGTTGCATAACCAGACATCGTCGAAGCACAAGGAGCCAACATGCCAACCTGAGACTGAGCACTTCGGCTCAATCAATCAACGGGAAAATCTAAAATTGAATTAAATCAATTAGTAAGGTATACAAAATGGAAATAAAAGGATAGGAACAGTGGTTTAATAATATAGGTAATTTGTAATCCCGGCCACTCGGAAATGAAACTCGCTAAATTAGTTTGGCAACCTGTTATCTCACTATTTGTAAAGTAGAGTTTTAAGAGCAAATAAAATGTGAAAAAAGGGACAAACTTTTATAAACAGTTTCGCTATATTGGACTTATATTCAGTGGTGTGCGAGGAAAATGATTACCACAAAATACATGCAAACAAATACTAAAAAATGGGGAACACACTGAGTGTATCTTCAAGCAAGGGCTGACAGATATCAAGTGTAGTGATAAAATAAACAGTTCAAAATTGTGAACTGTAATCAAATACTAGAGACATAGTAAGCTTAATGTAAATTACAAAAAGGTTGACACATAATAAAGGTAATCATGGAGTAAAGTGTACTCGATGAAAACGAATAAGAAGGCACAATATGACATGAAAATATGGATGATTATGTCCCTGCTGACCACCTTATAGTGGACCAAGGTAAATAAAGAGGATGAATGTGCTTCTTTTGCACACATGGGTCAGGTTTTTTCGTATTAATCCCTAAAGCTTTAGCTATAGCTAAGAGACTTAATCGTGTACCTTTAGACAGATTGTTTGGTACTCAATATACAACCGTAAATGATTCATTCATTTTGATATGGTGTTCACTATCTACTAGATGAGATAAAATGGCACTATTTATTGATTTCATTGAATTTTAGATTTTTCTGTTGATTGATTGGACTGAAGTGCTCGGTCTCAGGTTGACATGTAGGCTCCTTGTGCAGATGGTTCGACGATGCCTGGGTATGTAATTAGAATTCAATTGGTGGATGGTGACTAGCAGTGAAATCAAGGAGGCACGTTTCGTCCCATCTGGGGCTCGTCATCTGGATGTACCTGCATTCCTCAGTGAGTGGCGGTGTTCCCACCGAGGCTCGAACCCAGTGGCCATAGTTTCACTCACTGCGGAATGCAGGCACATCCACTTGACGAGTCCCAAATAAAACGAAATGTGCATCCGGGATTCCACT